TGGGGTGGCTTTATCCTCGTTTGCCTCACGTGTCATCTCTGCTTTTAAAAGGAGAACACGGGGTGAATGGCTAGTGGGTGGGTTTTACTGTTCAGTGCCTGATCTTTTGATGCAGCTTCTTCCAAATCTACTCAACTTTAATTTTGTTTTTTTCTCTCTGGAAACTGAAACCTGAATGCCATTGTGCTACAATGAATGACCGAGTTGAGAACTCTCTGCTCATTTGCTCAAGTCCTGCCTTTTTGGGTCAGGCTGTCCCAAAGGACTAAGCTGCAATGAGTTTACAGCTAAAGAAAATTGGTGATTTTTAACTTACTTTACAGACTGTGAAGTCATTCTTGGGATTCTTTAGGCCAAAATCCTTTTACATTTCTTGCAACCATCTTAAAATAGAGATGAAGGAGCTTTTTTGTTGTATCCAAATCGTGCTAAGTTATTATCTAACGATAAATCCAGTAAACTGGTAAAAATCAACAGTTTGCTGAATGGCCCAAGGGTTGTTTTTTTTAACTTTTTTGGAGTTATGAAATCGTGTCCCTTCTTATCTCTGACTTGAGGGAAGCTGATCCTACCTTGACTACTGATGATGTCTGTGGTCCCTCTCAGGCTTGTAACCCTCCAGGCACATTTCAAACTGTCTCCACAGACTCTGGTTTGCAGTCCAGGTTTAGGATGATGATTCTCTACTCTTCTGTTATTTTGCTTTCTTCTTTGAATTTGTTGTGTAAATGTAGCTTTATACAATTGAAATGAGAATTTTAATATCCCTCTGTGACCTTCTCTTTATTCCTAGGCTGAGCAGGCAGCCAAGGTTGAAAAGATGCGTCAGAGCATCCTAGAAGGATTAAATTTCTCCAGGCAGAACCATCCTCTCCCTTTCCCACCTCCACCTGCCATGCCTTTCTATCCAGCTTCTATGTATCCTCGACACTTTGGGCCAGTCCCACCACCTCAGGGCAGGGGGAGAGGCTTTGCTGGTAAGTGATGGGACAGTGATGCCACACATGTTACCTTACTTTGCACATTCCCAAAACTACCAACCCATTTCCCAGTTCAATTTCGTAGGAAAGATACATAAAAGCAAGTGGTTGGTATGTGTTGGTGTCTGCCAGTCACTGTATTGTGGGATTACTTTTATTAGCCATAGCCCAGTGGTTTGGATTGTGTGTATTGCTGTTTAGTTCCATCAGGATTTTAGTAACTGCCAGATCAAAATATTTTGACTGTTACTGTAGAACTAGAAAAAAGGAGGAATAGGTCAACACTGGGTGATATGAAAAGCCTCTTGTTTGCACAAAACATTGCTTCAAAACATTTATATTTATAAATGCTAAGAGTGCCTAAATTAATGGACACGATTTACCTGTCAGGGTTGAAGACAGCCATTCCTCTGTGTTTTGCTACAGTCATTTAATTGTTGGTCCCCCAAGTGTAAATACCAATACAACCATTCCAGGCCATTCCTAGAACTGTTTCCTCCCTCAGCATCTCTCCAGTACCAAGGCCCATGGGTGTGTGGATGCTGGACACTGGCATT